CTAGTGACCTCCTACAAATACAGCCCCAAGAAGAAGTCAGATGCATTTTGGGGAACCTGTGGGATAGACTTCTTTGTGCACTGATGCTGTATACCCGAAATTTTGCAATGCAAAAATGTTCCACAGTTATTCAGGACCAATAGGTTTTGTAGCAAATAAGTAAGGAAATAATTCCTTGTTCGTACTAGTCCCATGATTAAGGGGATGGACCAAGAGACTTCCAAGGTCCCTTCCAATCCTATGATTCTATGGCTTTCAATTTGTCTTAAAGAGCTGGTACATCTGTTTCCTTTGTAAAAGGATATCCTGGGCTCAAATAGATGCAGTACATGTTCTCTTGCTTCAACTGAGCCAAAATACAAATGCATTTGATCTTGCAACACAAAGCAAGCATGTGCTTTACAAAAAGGATGCATACTGGGTTTTTTTGCCTCTGCATCATATAGAAAATGATATAAATACAAATTTTGGATCAGATATTGGAATAGTTGATCTCTTCTAAGGAGATGGCCAGAACAGGTCCCTTAAAGTCATCCATCACCATTCCTCTATCTCTATTTCCAATTACATTTTTGCACTAACTAGTTTTGATTTCCTGATTTGCTTCCTATGCTTCTTGTGGCTGAAAGTAGAAAATATAAGAGGTATTTGCTGTAGGCATGAGCACATACTGGTAAATGGGAAGCAGTTTTGTGACCTTTTAATGAATATATTTCATGCTATTTTTTTAAAGTTAAAACTATGACTCAATATACACTGTAAAAATCCTACAAATCTGCCCTATTTACCAATTTAAGTATTAAATCACCTATTATTCGATTAAATTGCTCAAATGACATTCTCCAATTTCCAGTGCTTTGCAGAATAAGATTTTATGCATCAAGTTACAGTTTGGGGTGGAGTATCAAATACCTTTGCAATATTTTTTCTGGATTGGCAAGAGTTTAATCTTGAGGGTGTTGTTATCCCATATCAATTTTCCAGTTATTCTTTATTGGAGGTATAATATGTCCCAATTTCCTCTCCTGATTGTTCAGAACCAAATTACAAAATAAAGTGCTTTATTGTTTTGCTCACACTGATTTGATACATCATTGTTAATCAAACTTTTTGTACGAGTCCTTCAGCCAATAGTTCGTTTCATAAATACCTATGTTTCCTTAAGGGAAATGAAATTACATGTCAACCTAGATGGATTGCTGGTTTCACATCCTCCAGTGTAGTAATTGGATAAGATTGTTGTCAATCTGGAAGACATAGAAAGTTATCCCCATTAAATGTAGAATGAATTGCTTTTATGTAAATCAACTGTTGATTCTGCTGCAGGCTTTGGAACACTGCTGAAAATGGGAAGAATAACACAGCCCCAGAGCAGCAGTCTAAGCAGCTAACTAAATGAAAGGGAAGCTTTCTAACTAAGAAAGTAAGATGAAATAAGGCCTTTTCTATCTGTATTCCCCTGACTTCTAGGCATTTAACAATTCTATAAATGTCTTCACTCTTCAAGCTGCTCAAGCCTGTTTCTTGAGAAGCACTTAATATCACCATTGTGTTGGTTGGGCTTGAATAGACGAGATAGAAATTCAGAGTTTAAGTCCTCATAATCAAACATGGAAGGCAGAGAAAGTGAATGCTTAACTATAGTTGAATGGATGTTTTGTCATGAATGTGAGTATGAAGCAGAAGACGTTATTTGAGAGATTTTTGGACCATGATCTTTGTCTAAAGGTAGCTTGGTTTGTGGTTCCTTCCTGCATTATTTTTTTGCCTTTGTGTATTCCCTGAGAGGAAGTTGAAGCTAACGTGATTAATTTAAAGAGGAGATCGGCCATTCAAGAAAACATGCCAGGAAATTCTCTTGGCAAACTTGGCTGGTTGTATTTACATTTTCCTAAAAAGGAAATGTTGAGACAGAGCCAGGAGTGAGAAGTGAGAAGAAACTATAATGGGGACTTTGAGATATACAAAGTGGTTCGTGTATATTAGCTTGGATCTGATTGTCAGCTAAGACTGAAATGGTGGCTTCTGTTGAACAGGTTTGTGGTTGACAAGGTTTGACCTGAGACCATCTCAGCAAATCCTCTTAGTTGCTTGGCTAAACTGTGAGAAAGCCAGACGGCCAGGAGGTTGTCTGTTCCAGGTCAGATTTTTTTGGACATGACCTGCTCCACTGACACCTTTTTGGAAAAGTTGATGCCGCTGGTGCCAGGACCTGGCAGTTTACCGTGTTCTGCCAAAGTACTTTGTGCCAAGGAAAATTCTTCCCTCATCTCTAGGAGGCAATTTCATTTCTGTTGATCGAACTAGAAAATGCAAGGAAAATGTGACACTTTCCAAAGAAATGCAACCAGCATATTTTCATTTGCAACACCATTTACAGATGGTACAATACAGAAGGGGTCTACAATTGTGCTGAATTTTCCCCGTGCAGTCTTTTGCACAGGCTGCTGCTTTCAATGATGGGAAGCTTTCGCCTTGCTATATTTCTATACAAGGCTGCTACTGCTTTGGCAGTGCATCTCGAATGTATGTTGAATAAATTCATCGTAAGCTACATCCCTTTGGGATGCGGCTTACAATCAGTTCTGCTGAAGGAGCGTCTTGGATGAGAAGCAAAAGGTTTTCAAGGAAAAAAACATCAAGAAAGTCCAGTTGCTTTTTGGAAAAGCACCTTTGGGACAACCATGACCTGGATGATTGAGAATCTCCATAGATGCAAGCTGCATCATTTAGTTAATCCTTTTGTTTTAGCAGCTATTAGCTCACCATTTAGGGGTGGAAGATTAAGCACTCTCCCATTTTTCAATTTTGAATAGGATTTATCCAACAATACTTTATAAATATAAACAGGTAAGGAATTAGTCTTTTCGCACAATTTAGCTAAATTTTAAAATAGGTAAAAGTATGTACACCCTCCTAACATACAGCTTTTCTGTTTTGTAGGCCTATTCTACTAAGGCTAAAGTAAGAGTTAAAGTAATTCTAACCTTTTTTTGGAGAAAAAAAGCTAAATAAAAATCCTCTCTTTCAATAGGGCATTTTCAAACTAAAATATATTAACTAAACTTGAATCTAGTATGAGTTGTATTTAAAAAAAACATAATATGTGGTTGTATCTTTGGTATTGATTAGCCCTCTGCTGGATACAAAAATGTAAACTGATAATTCTGTAAATGGATTAATCCATACATAAATCTGGCTTTAAAAAAAAAAGAATAGTTGATTTTCCAGAGAAAATGGCTAGAATTAACTGCATGGGTTTTGCTGCAGTGACTTTGGATAGGGAAATATAACAGAAATAACTATAACCTGTCACCTGATATTATAAAACTCTTTCTCAATCCATTTAAAAGATCTCCATTGTATCCACCTTAAGTAATTTGTATTAGAAATAAATATTTTTTCCCTATGTAACTGATTTTCCAGTTCAACATTTATCCACTCTGGGATGTTATTATGCTTTGTCTTTGCTGAATCTACAGAAACAGAAATGGAAACATCTCCACTTACAAAACATACCTCCTAATACAGTAATTCTGCTGCTTCGAAATTCATATTTAAGGGGATCTTGTGAAAGTGACATCCCAATTCTGCCCCACTCTTATTATTTTGCTTATTTACTGATACACAATAAACAGGAAGCACAATCATATGGTTGACTGGGTTTCTCTTAAGAGAGTTAATTGGAAGAAGAAAATGGTAATTTCATCCCATCCTTCACTTCTATAAATTGGCAAGGGTATTTGCATTGCTGTGTTTGGCTGTGTAATTTTTGCCAAGGTCATAAACAAATTCCATTACATTTCAAGTTCAACAAATGTAGAACTGGATTGTAATTTAGAAACTCCCAAAATGTACGCTTTATTTTTAGTAATCTGCGAAAACAACTCATGTACAAAATTTTTTTTGCGGTTGCTAAGACACTGTCTTGATGGCACATTATCAGTCAATCAATCAATGAAAACAACTACAAGAACAAAACTAAGGGTAGTGTCAGATATCTCTTTTAGTTGTGTTGAAGACTAATCTGGATATTATAAAGAGTATGGAATTATTAATTTTTTTATAACTTTTAATATAACCATCTCCAACATTTCTACTTGTCTTTAGTAATCTTTTCTTCTGCTGAAGATTGCCAAATCTGTTATGGCTCTGCTCTACTTCTCGTCACGCCATCCAGGCGTGGCCAGAGAATGGTTTTGTGGAACAATTAGGACAATAATACCCCAAATCCTTTAAAAAAACAAACCCTGATAATTGGGTTTCTTCATTGGTTAACAAAACATAGGAGGAGGAAGAATGGAAAAAGTAAGGGCGATGAAATGGAAGCAAACACAATTGATGTATAGAGAATCTTTTGTTTTGCTTCCCACTATAATAAATCTGATCTAGCCGTTCATGGGATGCCAGGCTCTTTTATTAAGTAAACATTATTAAAGTATGATCTAAAATATTGTTTTATTGGGAAGCTGATTTTCTTTTCCTCCCTCTGCAAATGAGGCTTGCAGGCATACTGTTGTTCCTCATTGGACAACATCTGAACTGGTGCATATGTTTTGACAACATTCAGGTAGTTGAATGGGAAGAAGAGACAGGTCTTTACACAAGACTGTACACAATCTTAACACGAAAATGAGCAGCATCCTCCAACATGATGAACTGCAGTCCGGAGGGCCATCTCAGCAACAGCAGCCCCAATGCACTGAGAAAACTCCAGGTTTGGGAAGGCTGATGCAGAGCAGTGTGAAATTCTGCGCTGGGTGTCTGCTTTCTCTCTTCCCATGGTTTGAAAGGAAATTCAGTGAAAGGCAAAATGAGCCCATTTCTTTAATGTAAACTTTGCGGTTGCTCTTAAAACATAAGCCAAACTGGAGAGACAACTGGCAAATAGTAGGCTTATGTGAGTATATGGTATTAGGAAGGCCCTGGGTTGTAATAAATAGGAAGTATTAACCTAGTCTTTTGAAGGCCCTTAACAATTCTTCCTTTTCTTACATTAGGATGGAGAAGAAACATTTAATCGTGCAAAGCTTCTGAATGTAGGCTTCACAGAAGCTTTGAAAGAATATGATTATGACTGCTTTGTATTTAGTGATGTTGACCTAATCCCGATGGATGACAGGAATATCTACAAGTGTTACGACCAACCCAGGCACCTCTCTGTATCTATGGATAAATTTGGATTTCGGTAAGAAGTTGGTTGTTTACATTTAGCATAAAATGTATATCAATATGAGTGGATGGTTGGGAGTTGATGGCAAATAAATATAATAAATAATCTCTAGTCAAGGGGATCCGGAAGCAAGAATATGACCATATCTACACTTGCATTATACTATTGGAAGGAGGGCAGTTTCCTGTTGCATGTTCTCTATTGGGGCCCAAACCAATATTTAGGGGGACCTTGAAAGTGATTCTTTTTAAGACATAGCTTGTGTCAGTGGTGTGTAGCTTCACAAATAAACGGCATCTGTTCTAATGATACTCTAATTATTCTTACTTTTTTTTAACTGCCCAGTCTAGCTTCCAACCTTATATTGCCATCTGAATGCTAACCAGTCCCTACCTTGCCTTATGAGCTTGCCCTCCCAGCTCAGACATGGTGACCTAGATGCTGTTGACAACTCAGTTAAGGTTGAACAATTGTATATTTATACATGTACAAATACATTTAGATGTGTGTACAAAATTTATACACAGAGACACACATGTATAAATATGTATATGTTTACATATAGCATAATATATAAATTTAATGAAGTTTTTTTTACAAAATTAAAACTACAGAAAAATTAAAATATATATAGAAAAGTGAAAAAGATATATAAATATAGGAAAGAAAAACAGAAAAAAAGTGAACAACAATAAACTGTAGATCCAGAAGAAAGGAAGATGAAATATTTAAAGAAGCAATTTATGATCTTTGCACCAGTTACAAACATAGCTAATACTGTTTCCAGCCTCTCAAATTACACAATAGAATTATTCTTCCTTTATAAAACTATAAAAATGAACCATAGATTTCATTTTTATCCATTTTTATCAAAACGTCCATAAAAGGTTTGAAATCTTTTATAAAGGTAGCCATGGCTCCTTCCAGCTTGAAAAATGGTTTTAATGAATTCTGAACTCAGATTTCAGAAAACACAGATTTTTGTATTGGCACAGACATGTTTACAGGAGTCTGAGGCTACATGTTACTTTTTCTGATCACTTCTATCTAGAATTGCGACCAGAGATATAAATAATCCAAGCTTCTCTGCGATCACATGATTTTAAATGAACAATTTATCTTTGTCTCTTCCAGCTTACCTTACAATCAATATTTTGGAGGTGTGTCCGCTTTAAGTAAGAAGCAATTCCAAAAAATCAATGGGTTTCCCAATAATTATTGGGGCTGGGGTGGTGAAGATGATGACATCTATAACAGGTAAGATCCCTCATCTTTCTAGTTAATGTTGAATTTGAGGCTGGGTATGTTGTTTAGTTTTGGGGGTTATGCCCAGCACAATAGTTTCTCTCTGTGCCATTTGTTGATTTATGGTTTCTTCCTATGTTGCTCTAGTGCAGGGGTCCCTAACCCCCAATCCGTGGACCAGTACCGGGCCGCAGCATGCCAGCAACCTGTCCGCACAAACAAGTCCCATCTACGGGATGCAGGCAGCACACAAAACCACACACCCTCCAATCTGCGGAAAAACCTCTCTCCACCGAACTGGTCCCTGGTGCCAAAAGATTGGGGACCTCTGCTATAGTGCAGTGAACATACGTAGCCTTATGGGTACAAGAATGCAAATCAAGAACTGGTCTTTAAGAAATATTTGCATATTAAGAGCTTGTCTTGACAAACGTGCCTATGGAGGCGTCTAAGGAATTTCAGGGTCTTCAAACCATCTTTGACTTAGAGTAACAATCATCTACAGCCCAAATATGGACAAATGAGCCAGTATCAATTTAGATTATCATCGCTGGAGGCTCCTCATTTGCCTAAACACTAAAATTGAGAATGCTTATAATCCATGTATAATAAGGCTTGATTTAATTATGCCATGCTTTTTTGTGTGGTGCTTCCCCTATCATTGTTCACTATAATTTCTGAGCACCGATCTAGAAAGGGATCTTTGAAGATACATTTATTTTTCAAAAACTAGCCCACCTCTCTCCTATTAAGTGCATCTATTTCTCTCAGCCTGACAGTGTATTGTATCATATAGGAGTTTTTTGAGATTACAGTAAATGGCAAGAGGTCTTCATACCTGTCCCTGTGTCACTTTTTTCACCTGGCTTATTGTTAGTGAAATGAATTTTTGTCTTTGAAAAGGAACTCCCTGCCTTGTGTTTCCTTTTCTTCAAGATGCAGGTGTGATAACATGTGAGAATTTTCTACCTTCACCCATTTCTTAAACAAATATATATTTTGCTTCAAATTAAATGTTCACATTTATAACAGCTGGGCTAAGTCCATATACTGCTATCAAGATATAAGTTTTAATGTTGTGCTACTTAATGACTCAGTAGTACTCTTTCAGCACTTTGCTTAGAACAGGCATGTCAAACTCGCGACATATGTGATGTCGCGCGACGTATCGGAGCTTTTTCGCCATTGCCGGCAATGGGGTGGGCGTGGCTCCAGTATGATGAAACCGGCCCATGGGCCGGCAGTTTGACACCCCTGGCTTAGAAGAACATTTTTAAATAATAACTCCTGCTGAACTCAGCTCTCAAACCAAGTTCTTTTCCCTGCCCCTGCCACCTCATCTGTGTTGTGATATTTTAGTTGGATTATTTGGTGGATTGCACTAATAAATGTTGAGACCAAGAAAGTAGTGTGAAAATGCCCCCCCCAAAATCAAGGCAGCTTTATTTTAAAAAAGCAAGCAGAGGATTTCCTAACCAATTTGTGAAATAGACCAAAATATAAACAGGCTTTTACAGTCCCATTGCAATTATGTATGCTTAGAATTAAGGCTGAAGGTTTAGGGGATTTTTAGGCCTACGCCGCAGGTGTTGACTCTCATTTTCTCTTTTCTTTTTCAACTATATGGGCACTGAGAACAGGGTATTACTTTTTTGCTAATAGGTACTTGTTTCAAAGTGTTGAAGCTGTTGGAGATGCAAATCTTCGCAGACTACATATATGTTAGTCTAGGAATCTACAGATATTCAAGTTGTTATTCTAAGTGCAGGCTAGTTTGTGACTTCTAAAATGAAAATATCCATTCAGCTAATCTATGCTACAGTTATAGAATTAGCTTGGTCTGTTTATGTGTTCATATGTGTTATGTGTGCTGAATTTTAGAAATGATAGTTTTACATACATACACACAATGTTTAAGTGACAGTACAAAGGATCTTCAAATGTTGAAAGAAGAGGTGTTTGGCAATTAAGAAAGTGTCTTTATTTGGGTTTTTGCTACCTGCCATATGGATGGAATATGGATGGGAAATGAACAGAAGTGGTCATGGATGTGGATGAAGACAAAGACATGGATGAAAGATGTCACCAAAAAAGCCAAGGGTGTTGTGCAATAAAATCAATAAGACACCCCCCCTCACCAAAATAATGAGTCCTTTGTAAACATCCAGTGAATTTTTCAGATTGAAATCTCAAGTGAATATTCCAACTATAACGAATTCAGAAAGATATTCTGAACATAAAAATATTGAGTGTCTACCCATCCTGCAGTATAATTGACACATGGATGTCCTGTATCATTCCTGCATTTTCTGTGCAGGTTTCAAGGGCTTTCCAGCTTCCATGTGACATGCATGAGTCTCGGAGTCACTGTTTTTAAGTGACCTGATATGATGTACAACTGTAATGCCTGTAAGGGGGCATTGAACTACAGATCTAAATTGGAAAGGTACTCTTTCAGCACTTTGCTTATGCTTAGAAGAACCTTTTTAAATAATAACTCCTGCTGAACTCAGCTCTCAAACCAAGTTCTTTTCCGTGCCCCTGCCACCTCACCTGTGTTGTGATATTTTAGTTGGATTTTTTGGTGGATTGCACTAATAAATGTTGAGACCAAGAAAGTAGTGTGAAACTCCAGCATCTTGCTGATCACAGGTCTATTTTAAAATGGACATTCTGAATATAGGATCTGTGCTGTGTTAAGTTACAGTATATGGAAGTTCTGCTTTTCTGAATCAGCTGCATATGTGAACTTGCTACTAGTTTGCTCTGGAACAAATCCAAATAGCTTCTTTAACTCAGATTGAAGCATTTTAAGAAACACTTTGGCACATTGGCTTTAGATGACACTCCAGTGGAGTTTTCTACTTTTCAGATAAATATAAGTATTCACTGTTTATTTTTATTGATTTAAATGAAAGTTGATGTATGTGCTGCCATTACTTTGGTTTAAGATCTGGTTTCTTTTGTTGGCTTCTGCCATGTTATTGCAATGAAGTTTAATGCTAATGTCATAATGAACCAGCTCATTGTCTATATCTAACGTATAGCTCTGGCTTCTTTTGTTTAGGGTACAATCAAGCAAGTGCAGACTAGCCCACAAAAATGTCTCACTCCCCTTTCCTTCCTTAATTGTGGTCTAAAACAAAGCAGCTTATGACTTTCAAGAGCAGGGGTGTCAAACTGCCAACCCGCGGATGGGATGCGTCATGGTGAAACCACGCCCACCCCATTGTCGGCAATGGAGAAAAAGTCACAATACGTTGCGATACGTCACATGACGTTGCGAGTTTGACACCCCTGTTCTAGAGTGTCTTCGTGTCTTGTTGCTTGGAGGTAGTTAATATTTGCCACAGCATGCTGGAGAGTGGCTAGCTCCATATATATGCTAGATGACAGTGGTTCTCAACCTATGGGTCGGGACCCCATTTGGGGTCGATCGACTATTTCACGGGGGTCGCCAAGCAAGGCTGTCCGCCATTTTTTTTGTCCGCCATTTTTTGTCCCCTTTTCCGGCGGGTGCCTTACCTCCCTTGAGCTGGGCCAGCTGGTGGTCGGCCTGCTCCGTCTCTGCCGCTTGCCAGCTATGCCTCGGCCGGCACAGGGGGCAGAACCACGCATGCGCGGCACTCCCGGGCAGGGAAAGTCCTCGACTTACGACCGGTTGGGTAGTCCTCGACTTACATCCAGTTTAGTCCTTGACTTACGACCGGTTTAGTCCTCGACTTACGACCGGTTTAGTCCTCGACTTACTACCAGTTGGGGTCGCGGCATTAAAAAGGTTGAGAACCACTGTGCTAGAAGGAAATGAAAGATTTCACAAGAGTCCTGCTAAGGCAAACCAAAGGCCTATCAATGTCAACATTTTGGGAGGCCCATCGCCATAAGGACATTATTGTCCTTCTGCTCACATGTTGCAGCAGCTGATATTTGGAGACAACTTTTCTCTTACTCTGGTGGCAATATGCAACATCAGTGATTAAAAGCTATTAATGGACTAATTTGCTTTCAAACCATCTAGGTTGGTAGCACTTTGAATAGCAAATTCCTTAGTTCAACTGTGCACAGCAGGTAGGGTTTCTTTTCATCTGCCTTAAATCTTCCACCTTTCAGCTTCAGTGGACCATCCTGGATGCGGCCTTAATAGCAAAGCCTTTTCTTGATTATTCTCTCCATCTCTTGCATAACTTCATACACTGCTTGACTAGACAGATTGTCAAGTATTTACAGACCATGAACACCTGTGTTCTCCTTTCTAATGGTGTTAATGTTGGAGAGTTCAGTGGGGTTGTATGGCAGCCACAAACTGAGCTGGAGTGGCCTGCTTCCAGAGAGAACCGGGGAGCATTGCAATGTTCCTTTTCTTGCTGTTTTAGAAAGCAGGTGATCCAGGGACAGAGCACAATGCTCCACGCTACTTAAGGGTCACTGCTCTCCTTGTCTTCTAGCACTGCTCTCTTGATTTATATACCAAGTGAGAGGCTGTCTGCCTACTGTGGGGTCAAGACTTTGGCAGCAAAGCAAATAATGTTTCTGCTCGGTCTCTTTGAATACTCGGTTTCCTTGGCACATACTACTAGGTGCACATTGTGTTTGGGATGAGCAGGAAGCGTTTTATGTCAAGAGGTGTTAAGTTTGGCAAAACAGAAGGAAAATATGCTTAGCATTTAGCAGTCACCAGGCTTTTTAGATGGTATTCTTAGAATACCATTAAGAGACTGGGAAATACCAGACTGTGATTGGTACAAGAATCCATTTCTGGACTCTGCTAGGAACCCTGCTCTTTAATTCTGAATAAATTCTGCTCACAATTTAGAGGGGAAATTTTTTTCAGGAACTTCAGAAATATACTTAGCAAATTTTACTTTCCCCCCTCCCAAATAGAGAACTATATTATTGCGTACAAAACAATAATGTTTAGCGCTTACAAGGTCACCAGCACTTCCTGTTTCTCATTTACACCATTACTCTGAAACTTGTTTTTCAGCCCTCATATTTTTTGCTGCTAATCTGACAGTGCCCTTGTTTAACGTTATTTTGTTCCTACTTTGTCAGGTGCACATGTATTTATTTATGTAAGCATTTTTGTTCACAGCCTTTCCAACATTAGCTGGGTAGCAAGGGGGTCGGGCTTAAAGAGGCTGGGAGTTGAGGCACAGCCATTCTCTGGCAGGCAGCAGATCTTATGGGCAGGCTTTAGACCTTCAGAGGAGATCCACATGGTCTGCCCCTGATTCGTCACCTTTTGGCCATCTAAGCAGATCATTTCTATATCCTTAAGGCAATGGATTAAAACAGAACTGTTTGAGATAATGTTTCAATTAATTACTGCAGCCTTAAACCATATTAATTAATGGAGGAGAAGTTCCTAGATATTAATGTACCTGTTGTANCATGGGTTGAATTAATGACTTACTTTGGTTAAAGGGATGTGACATACATATTTCTGAGATAAGGTTTATGGCATTTCATACATGGACTAGCATAGTATGTTAACATTTCACCTAGATTAGTAAAACACAATAAAATATAAATGTTAAAAAGATCTATGTTCAAATGCCAATGTCTAGGGCTAGGCCATTTAACCATTGAAGTGCAGCATTGCTTATATTAAAAAAAAATCAGATACTGGACTGGTCTATGCCCTCAGCTTACAGCCGGCCACGATGTGATCTACAGCTTGATGTGGGACCCCACAGTCACACTGAGGGGAGAATGTTATGCCCCATTTAGACAGAGTCCCGGCAGATGCTGTGTGAGGTACAAATCCTAGTCAGCATTGTCCGTTGCTGACGTGGTAGTTCAAAGCCTGGCACCTTTTTCCATGGGGGTCATTTATATGTCTTCCTGTGTCTGGGCGTTCAGCGACCCATTTGACTTTCCATTGGGAATCGATATTAAAGTTGTTGGGCAGATGTTGTGCAAATGCCAGTGGGGGTTTCCTGGATTTGAATCTTCCAGCTGATAAATGAGGAAGGTCGGCATGTACTGGTAGGGCTGAGTTGTTCATAATTTTTCTGTATTCTCTCACTAGTGCATCGTGCGTTCATAAAGCTGGTAGTGCTTTATGGCTCAGAACAGGAAGCCAGCAAGTAGGAGTGGTTTTAATACATCTGCTTATCATCCTTATGGTGTTGTTGAGTCTGGCGTCTAACTTACTAGTATGGCAGCTGTTAAGCCAAACAGGGGCACAGTATTCTGCTGAGGAGTAGACCATGCCTAGTGCCTGAGGACCTGAGGGTGGCAGCTGCAGCTCCCCATTTAGTTGCACATAATTTCTGGAGTGTGTTATAAATAATAGCAACGAAATGAGATCAGGTTTTTAGTGGCTTACGGAAATCACTAAACTAGGCTCCTTAAAAGAGGAAAAGAGAAGGTGTGTTCACCTAACAGAAACCTGACCCTTTATTTGTCTTTGCAGATTGGTTTTTAAAGGCATGGGAATTTCCCGCCCAGATGCTGCAATTGGAAAATGTCGAATGATTCGCCACATGAGAGACACTAAAAATGATCCCAATCCACAGAGGTAGGTTCTTCATGCTGCTTCTGCCCACACTTAGCAAAAAAAATTGTTTGTTATATTTATATCCTGCCTTTTATTCAGGAATTCAACATACCTAGTTGTCCTTCCTCCCATTACCTCCAACCACGTTTTGAAGTAGTCTGGAATGGTTCGGAGTCATAGAGAGAGCTCTGTGGTTGAGAATAGGCTGGAATCTGAGTCTTCTCAGCACAAGTCCAGCAGTATAATCACATAATCAACAGCATAATCAATTTCAGTTGAACTCTAATTTCTAATAATCAGAAGGTCAATCAAAAGCAAAAACATGTTTCCACAATTGGACTACTCCTTATAACAGGGGTCCCCAAAGTACTGGGCCACGGCATGCCAGCAACCAGGCCGCACAAACAAGCAAAGCCCCATCCGTGGGATGCAGTCAGCACTCAAAACCACACACTTTCTCCATGGAACTGGTCCTTGGTGCCCAAAAAGTTTGGGGACCTCTGCCTTATAACAAAAAAAGCCAGTTTAGTTTGGTGGTAAAAGCACCAGGCTAGGAACTAGGAGACTGTGAATTTGTGTCCCGCCTTAGCCATGAAAGCCAGCTGAGTGACTTTAAGCCAGTCACTGTCTCTCAGACCAACCCACTTCCCAGGATGGTTGTTGTGGGGAAAATAGTAGGAGGAAGCTATATGGGATATGTTCACTCCCTTGAATTATTTGTAAAAATAAAAGGCAGGATACAAAAATATAGCAATAGTACTTAGACTTATATACAACTCCAAAGCACTTTACAGCACTCTCTGGGCAGTTTTCAATGTCACATATTGCCCCCGCCCAATAATCTGGATCCTCATTTTACTGACTTCAGAAGGATGGAAAGCTGAGTCAACCTTGAGCCTATCAGGATTGAACTCCTGGCAGTGAGCAGAGTTAGCTTGCAATACTGCATTCTAACCACTGCACCACCACCAAGCGTATGCTATAAATCAGTAATTCTGTTCTATAAGCTGTCTTTCTGCCACTAAATTTTTAACCGTTGAATGTAGAACTTTTAATATTCTTCTTCTGAGAAACAGTTAGCAAAAATATATATGCAAGAGAGAAGTAAAATACAAAATATATTTTTTTGCAAATCAGTTAACCATTTGCAGAAGGCCAATGGCGATACTAATCACAAATTTATATTTACCAACTGTAAGTCTATTTTATTTTTACAGGTTTAACAAAATTGCTCATACAAAAGAAACAATGAAATATGATGGGCTAAACTCTCTGACTTATACCGTAATAAAAACTGATAAATTTCAATTATATACAAAAATCACAGTGGATATTGGATCACCAAAAAGCTAGTGTGGCAGAAATGCAATAGAAGACTTGGAATACCCAACCAGTGACAATTCAACTTTTCAGCATTTTATAAATGATTTTATGCAATCAACTTGAAAGACGGACACCTGTTTTGTCATCCTGAGAACTTGCAATTGGCAGGACAAATGAGAATTTTAACCCCAAATTTTGCTGTATACATCTTTTTTTTTCATTTTTAAAAAACTTTATAAACAATAAATAGAAGCTGTAAATATATGAATTTTCAGGGAATGGTGGAGACTTAGGTGCTCAATCCCCTTGGAAGTTCTCCCATGCAAGAATCACAAAAAAGAATGGAAGTTGTATTGAAGCTTTTTTTTCCCTTTCCCAAAACTCTCTTTTATGTCAGGAAGCTAAAACCTAAGAAGGATTCCTAGTGGATAGAGGCCTATGTATTTGACAGCCGTTCTCTCCACTTTAAAATAATGAGGGTCACAATTTGGGAATGTTACTGTTTGCAAATTGTGAGGTATTCTGCAGTGGTAAGTCATTTCCCTTTCTTCCTGCTTCTTTCCCAATTTAATTTAAAAATTAGATCACTGTATGAAAATTCACTGCTGTGGGTACAGGTGGAAGGATTGGAAAATGCTGCTAAAGTGGTTTGAGTTTACATACTTTGATTTATCTTCCCAAATCTTGTCAGGATTGTCTCTTCTTGTCTGTAACCTTCTGTGGAGGGGAAAAAGAACTACAAACCTCAAAACAAACACCTTTGCATTCTGTTCTGCTGGCATGGAGATTTAAATAATGCAAGCCTCTTTGCCCAAAAGTGTATCTGCAAGCCAAAATCTTGAAACCACGGTGCTTGCTTTAATCTAACAGGACAATCAGACAAGTTCTTATACTGGGCTCACTGCACCATGGGGCAAAAGTATGAGTGAAATGGTTTGATCCTATCTGTTTTCATGCAAAAACCAATCGTGTTAGGTTGCTAATTGAAGCTTCCTAATTTTTGGTGGATCTAGTTGGGTAGTTGTGGAGAGGTCAGGTTAAAATATGCACTATAACCCAGGTCATGCAGCGTTCCTTCCCTAATATATAGAAAGGAGAAAGCTTGCATCCAAGTCTGACACTCAGAGCTAACCCATTGTGGTGTTAGCTGTGAATATCACCATCAAAGGCACAAGGGATGTTGATAGGTGGAAGGCACAGTTCATGGGTTGGCCCACTGAGGCAGAACATTGATAGATCAGCAATACATAAACCTTAGCTTGCTTAGGCCTGTTGCTATTTGAAAATGAGCCACGTCTAGAAGTATTTCAAAAGGACAAAGCCTGTGTGTAATGCTCAAACAGATGGCCCGCGTAACATCTGTTTTGGAATGAAGCTGAACATTGTATTTATTCATGTGAGAAACATCTCTGATTCTGTGGAACACTGATGGGATCTCTCTCAAGCTCATTCTGCAGGGTCATCCTTGTCTTAAGAACAAGAACAAGGGAAAGTGAACAGTTGGCAAGAATGAGACAGCATTACTCTCCAACTGACCAGAACTTGTCTACTCTGAGTAAGTCTGCTGGGATTTCGCTCATCCAATGGGAAGTTATGCTTCCAGATTTTCTCTAAATACAGCTGGTGGAAGGAGCCATTCAGTTTTCTAGATAAACAAAGCAAGGTTTTTGCTTAGTTAAAACGTATAAATGGGGCTCAGCCTTCCAACAAAGTTGAGAAGAACATCCTAAGCCTATTGGGATCATTAATTGCCCAAGGTGGGATGTTTGTGTGTGATATTGGGATGCAAAGTCTTCTTTACTTTTTTTTTGCTCTACCTGGCAAAACTGTAGCATAGAAATATCCCAGTAACCAGTAGCATAATCTCTAAGATGAGAGAATAGTTCAAATGGAATTCCTCAGTGAAGACCACTCTTGATACCGCAAAACAAACATAATCCACCTAAGGACTGATATATTGCCAGATTGCCTTACATGTGAATGGAAAGCTTTGTTTTATTTTCTACAGCTCGAATGCAGTCTTTTTCTTACTGGAGAGTGGCAAATGCTTTACAACTCTGGGTTTATAAAGTGCCTTTTGGTTTTTAAAATGTTTTGTCAGGAATGTTTACTATTGTAAAGGCCTAAATGTTACAAATGTCAATCAAAGGAATTTTTTTTCTCAATGTTTTGTATAAAACTTGAAGACTGCTGCTGGATTTTACTGCTAAAAATATTAGAGGGGAATAGGGCAACGGCGACTGCATGATAAAATGGCATGTTAGAATCATTAAGTGGCAGGCAACATCATGTTTTAAGTAGATTGGATTTATAAAATCAGCCTTCACGAGAATGTTCAGTTTGCCTTGCAAATAGGTTCATCTCATATGTCTGAAGAACCATAAATTATGGCTTGTTGGGATGTTTTCATTTCTCCCACTCCATTGTGAAGTCAGTGAAGCATGGCTTGAGGATCAAAGTAGAATTTGCACCCCACTTTTGAAAATACATGCTTTTATGAGAGTGTTTCCAGTGATTTCCTTCTGTAAAAGGAGTAACCTCCCAACAGCTTCAGCATTTTTATTATCAAGCAGATCCCAACCAGTGATTAAGGAGCTGCTCAGAATTCACATATTTTCAGGGAGGGAGATAACTTTGAAGTTTAGCTTTCTCCTGTATGCACCCTTCCATTTTTTTTATGGAGGCAAAATAATCCATTTTAAGAAAGTATCTTGGAGGATTACAACGTTCACATCCCTCAACAGTCAGGTAAAGGAAGGCCTACTCTCTAATCTACTATCAATAGCTTTTCAACTTTTCAACTCCACTTGCCCAACTGCATTACCAAAGGAAACCATTCCCAGTTCATTTCAGTCAATCTTTCATAAACTGGTCTGCTTCAAATGTACGGGACATTGTAATCCAGGACAATTCAAGGACACCAAATTGGCTAAGGTGGCTTTTGCTGCTGATAACAGAGAGAACATGCACATAGAACTCCAGTTTACCCACGACTTGAGGCAATCCATGCAATAGAGCAGAGACACTCTCCCCATTATCTTACTTGGAAGCTATGTTTCCAGGCTTCTCAAGCTTCTCAAACCCACTGGCAACCAGTTGTGTAGCAGATGAGAGATCTTGTGTATCGCTATTAGTATATGACATTCTTGAATTTTAGACTATGGAGAAAGTTGGATGAGAGAAGCAGTTGGCTTCTTCATGTCAACTGCTTCCCCTTTTGTTCCTTTTATCCCGTGGAGAGAAACAAATGGCCAAAACAAAAACCCCATCCTTATTGGATTGAGGGATCCCTCTGCCCTTTTGAGATGAAACCTCTTTAAAAAAATCTCTAATAGAAATATTGAGCTCTTCCCAAAGTGAGATGAATTGAGGCAGGAGGGTGCAATTCCAGAGGGAAGGCTGTTCAAACAGATGTTGGGTTTTCCAGCCTGAATAATCTTCCCCAATCTGATGAACTCCAGAAACATCAGGATATAACTCCCATTGTCCTTGTCCAACATCCTTAGTTTGCTGCCATGAAATCTGGGCTTAATCATAACATGATAGATAAAGAGAGTGGCAGGCAAGGATTCTTTCTTACTCTTATTTCACTACTCTTGCTTGGTTTCTGAGGTGTATGTGAATGAAATTGTTATCTTTCACTGCCAACTTTAATTTTTTAGAAGGTCCAGATCCAAATGCTTAATTTCCCCTTACTGTATTGGGTGTGGGATCTGTACCTGGTTCTAGCATGTGCCATCTTTTTGAAGCAAGAAAAAACTTTCAAATCTTAGGCAAGCTGACCTCAAAGAAGCAATTCCAATATCACTTACTCAAAGCCAGTGCTTTTCAACCTCAGCAATTTTAAGATGTATGGACTTCAACTTCTAGAATTCTCCAGCCCGAACTTGTTTCTTCTACGTTCTTTACTACACAACAGCTCCTAGAAAAAAGCTTTTGTAAACATTTTAGAATTAGATTAACCATTCTTAGTCAAAATACAAGCATGAAAAGTTACAGATCAAAATGGAGGCTGAAACCCTGTAATATTCTGAGAACTTCTAACTGAATACAGATGGTATTTACAGTTGTCAAGGTTAATATGTTACGTTAGACTTTGGTCAAACAAATTTGAGATGCAGTAAAGTCCGCTCCAGTCACTCAGTTCTTTATGATGGCTGCATTTTCATGGCAACAATATGGAAGTCATTTGCTACTGCTTTCTTCCTGGGATTTTATTTCAACTTTTGAATTTAAACTGCAGGTCTGTAAGGATTTCCCTGTGGTGCCACATCCAAGTGCTAATGAAGTACTGCAGATTTCTGCTTATGTTTTCTGAGATCAGTCAACTTTTGCCCACATTCTGCTCTCTACTGTGAAAAAATGCAGTATAAAACCTCCCAGAGCCCATTTACTGAAATAATATAGTAGGCTGAGTTTACAAAGCACAAGTTGTGATCCCACTTTTCATTTACCATTTCTCCCTATTTTTACTGGACACGTGGATGCCTTTTAAAAATCAGGCTCAACTTCCAATGTGGATTCAGCAAATAGGTTTTCTAGCCTATAAATACACATTCCAGCAAACAACTATTATGTTATCCATCATTCAGCGCAGCTTAACCATGTGCTTACATGTATGTAAGTGTGTATGACTTGGATGTGCACATGAAAATCAGGGAAAATTGCCATAGAACCTTATTCAATAATCTGGTTATAATTTTCATCTCTTCAAGGTGTTTGAGAGAAGTGCCTTAAAATATTTTGCAGAGTGCATGGGGGGGGGTGGGGGTGAAGGGATAAACCGTGTTTGCTCAGTTACTTTAGCATTGCTGTGGATCATTTTTGCCTTTCCAGAAAACAGTATGAAAGACATAATTAATAAAAGTTGCTGTATAGTAACGACAATGTTTCTGCTGTTATATTTAATTCCTTGATGTTTCTCCTCTTATTTCTTTTGATTGCGTCACAAATAGGCAGCTAACATTTCTGTTTAATCTGTGAAGGATCAGAACATGTGGACTTTTGTTCTGTTTTCACTTTACATGTGTGGTGTGTGGAGATACATGAATAGCAAATGGGAAAATGGTATTTATTATCCCACTGGCAATTCTATTTCAAACAAGGCCTCTTCTGAAACTATTTCTTAGTCTGACATTCAAGGCAGGGCAACAGAGCTCCTTCCTGCACCTCTTAGTCATCTCAGGAGTCCCGGATCCTGCAGGAAAACTCCTTCCCCTCCTTCATTCTGGATTGATTATAGGGTGGAGACTGGTGAAGCCCACTCTGTCTGTTTTCAGGCAGAGGGCTCTTGCAGCTAGCAATTAAACCAGTCTTGTGAAAAACAGGATGTGCAGTTAGCTGCCCCTTTCA